ATTACAAACTTAAAATACTAAATTGTAAACAATTCCGGTGAATAATGGCGCTAAAATGTACCGAATATCGGGAGGTACCGTTATATGGGGGCTACATGAAGAAAATTGTCTGTGCATGTCTTTTATCGGTGACGTGCTAATAGGTATTAAAAAAACTTCAAACAAAAGTTGCAATCCAACATGCTAAGGATTTTGCCCTGCCCAAAATGTTAACTTCACGCGGAATTCGGTATCGATTGGTCTTTAATTGTGAACTGTATAGCACTACAAGGCCAGGAACATTTTTCTCTTTTTGGTCATAAACCATTACAATATTCAAATGCGAAACTTGAAATACTAATACAATATTCAAATGCGAAACTTGAAATACAAACTTAAAATACTAAATTTGAAACAATTCCGGTGAATAATGTCGTTAAAATCATCAAAGTACCGAATATCGGGATGTACTATTATATGGGGGCTACATGAAGACGAGACAGAAAATTGTCTGTGCATGTCTTTTATCGGTGACGTGCTAATAGGTATTAAAAAAACTTCAAACAATAGTTGCAATCCAACATGCTAAGGATTGTGCCCTGCCCTAAATGTTAACTTCATGCTAAGGATTGTGCCCTGCCCTAAATGTTAACTTCACGCGGTCAGGAACATTTTTCTCTTTGTGGTCTGTTTACCCCTACATATTATGCGATCTAGATTCTAGCTCCGGTGGCAGAACATTGAATATCTTGGTCCATGTGTTCTTATATCCCGCATATAAGGGTACCCACCGATATTATATTCGCTATTTTAATAATTCCAGTAACATTTACGAAATTCTTTGAAATTTGGCATTTAAAACTCGCAATATGTCTTGAATATATGATGCAATCAGACACCTCTTACAGATTAAACAAAATATCCAAAACAATTGTTTGAGTATTTCCATATCAAACACACATACGACATTTGGTAGCACCTTTCTGACATTGACAGTTATTATCGTTTTTATTACATCGATATAAATTAATTAACCGAATACAGCTTTTCAACCGCAGTCAACATGTTCTTGTCAACGAAACAATTATGAATTTCATGAAGTGGAAGTGATAGTTAAATAAAAAACGGATGACCTGTCACCAATGTCAGCAGAATTGAATTTGCATTTTTCATTTGAGCAATATTGTGTCACAAGTGCTTTAAATGAGTTAAAATATCAAAATGCAGCTGTTGTGTGCAAGGCCTATGGAAATCGATGAACATTTCTCTGGTTCAATTTACATTGTTAATTTCTGTCATAATAACGTATTAGTTAGAAACAAAAATTGAAAACAAATTAAAAAACCTAAACTTCGGAGGAGTAACTTAGATTAATAACATCTAATGAACTAAGTCTTTTAGAAAATTATGAATTTTTTTAAGGATAATATCTAACATTTTAGGACCAGTAAGTTTTAATCGGGAATTTAATAAGTGGAGCACTTTAATGCATTTGACAGCCATTATTTCAAATTTGCATAGACTCCTATGAAAGAATAAATAATACATTTGTATTCAGTGTATATGAACCGATTTATCTTCATAACAAAACAACTATATTTAGTTCATGAGTTTATAGCTACATCAGTTATATATACACTTTAATTCGGTAGGATAGAGGAGATAATTGTCAAATTAATTTTGTTTATTTCTTCCGAATGAAAAGAAAGAAAAAAAGGTAGACCTCTCAACATATTTTTCCGCGGGAGGAATTGATTCCCATTACAAATTGCAATATTTTTTACAACAATATGACCAAAATGATCATAAATCCAAATATTGGGCGGAATTGGTAATTGAGATGTACTAAAGCATGGATCTGTATGGGCATTTTTCTGTCAGAATGATTGGAACCTTTTACGAACATCATGTTAGGAATTCAAAATTCCATCAAAAAATAGCCCCATTTCGGATCAAATTAATTAAAGTTTTAAACATTTTCAATATAATGCTTGTTTTTTTCTGCCAAAGAAAAACATATATTTACTACAAACTAAAATAACATATTTTAGCCCATATCATTTTATATGGAGGCAACGCACAAACGTCGGTGAAAATGTGCATCTTTGGTTGGTCTCCAGAACTAAAGTGCCGGCCATGTTGATGCTGTGGGCCGCCATAACAGCCGATGGTCGCTCTCCGCTCGTATTAATCGACCGTGACATCAGAATAAATGCCCAAAAATATCTCGAAAATATTCTGGAGGGTGTATTAAAGCTTAAAAGGGCACTTGGACTTTCCAACAGGACTCAGCACCATCGCACTCAGCACGCGCCATCCAATAATGGTTACAAAATGAGGTTCCTTGCTTCATTTCCAGCGCACAATGGCCACCAAAATCTCCTGATACTAATCGATTACCTCAAACAAGCGCTTCGCAGGGAATGGGCCAAAATACAGCAGAGCAGCGTTCGGGCAGCGTGTGACGGTTTCATTGGCGGTGACGGTTTCGAAGGCCATAATTCGTGCCAATTCAAACAAATCTAAACTTATTTTAAAATTTGGTGCTATTTCCCTCCTTGCTTTCATTCAATAAAATTTCTAAAAATAATTTAAAAATAATGGTGTTTTTACTTTTTTACATTTTTTATTACATTTTTTATATTTTAACAATATTTTTCATACTAATTTCGTCAAACGTTTGTAATTTGAGAAGAAACCATTCCAAATTGTATTTAGGCTACCCATCATACAGATAATTGTCCACATATGCATTTATTTTAGTGTAGTTTACCTGCAAGTCCACTTTCCCAACTAATGTGTGGTGAGAAAATAAATGTTTGTATTCTATTGAATTTATAACCCTCAAGAGAATATTGGTTGGGAACGTAGATTTGGGATGTAGGCCTATATGAAATAAACTCCGAAATGTCCAGTCGGAAATTGTGAAAAAATTACGTATATTAGAAAGTATCACTAGGCCGAGCATTTGTTTAATTGTCATTGAATTAAACTGAAAAATGTGTTAAATGGCAAAAAAAAAAAATAGTTCCCATCTTACGGTAATGAGTGGAAAAGTAATTATTTGAATATTCTTAAATCATTTTGCCCTTAATTACCACTGAATGAGTTAAGAGTAAAAGTTATCCAATCAGTTTGATTATTTTAATGATTGTGAATTAAAATTTTTAAATTGTGTATCGCTTGCATGTGTAAACTGAAAGATAAAGAAATATTTTCTATATGTAAAACATTTTGAGCATAATACTAGGTACAAAAAAGTTAAACTTAAAAATGTTTAAGCCTAAAACCAAAATGTAGTTTTGTTCGAAAATATTGGAAGGCTCTCCTCATACAAGAAGTGTTATTAATATTCCTATTATGCGATTGAATACTTATGAAATATTATTTAACATATAAAAGATTAAATTATTAATATTTCAATATAAAATGTAATCATATGGAAAACTATCTATGGTCAATGTTTTATTGAAATTTTAAAATGTCGCGATCCAAGTAAGTATAATTTTTTTTTTCTTTTATAAAAAAATATTTTTGTTTCAGGATAATGCCAGTATTTTTCGTTATGTTTACAGATATTTTTATTAGGTTCATTATTTACAATATTATTTTTTACTTATAATGATTTATAAAAAATGTCAATTTCGAATTAATAATTATACCCTACAACACTATGTGTTGGGGGTATTATAAGTTTGATTGGGCCAGAATTTATGTAACACCTCGAAATATTGGTTTCCCATATAGGAAAGTATATATGGATCTTCCTAGCTCGCCGAGCTGAGTCGATCTAGCTATGTATGTCCGTCCGTCCGTCTGTCCGTCTGTCCGTCTGTCCATGTTAATTTGTAATCACTCTACAGGTCGCAATTATGGTCCGATCTTCACGAAATTTAGAATGTAGGTGGGGTTAAGGTCAGAATAGAACCCTATTTCTTTTGGAGATGATCGCATAATATTTAGGGGTTGAAATGGACCAAAAACTGAAAAATTTCCTGATTTTGCAGTTGCTCTACAGATCGCAATTATAGACCAATCGACGCGGAATTTCGCTCGTAGCTAGAGTTTAGGGCGGGGAAGAAGCCTACCAATTTGGGTGGTCATCGGATAATATTTAGCGGGTAAAATAGACCATATATTTTGTGTTGAAAAAAATCAAAATTTTTCATTAAACCGCGAACATTTTAAATCCCGGCGAAATCGCAAAGCCTTGACAAGGTTACTTCTGATCTTTACATTGATGTTAACATCCATCAAATCGGATATATAGCAAAATATGTGCGATATATGTGTCTATCAAAGAAGATATGCTTGAAAGATTTCTTATATGTCGAGAACGGCTGAACTGATTTCGACAGTTCTCATTAATTCAGAATGGCCTCTTGATAGGAAAGAAAAAACGTCTAAAAAATCGCATAAAAATATCTCTCTAAAGATGAAAATATTGATTTTGTAACATTTTTTCATATTTTTTCAATTTTGTCATATTTTTGGCATATTTTCATTTTGAATTAAACATTTGGTAATATTTCTACAGTTAACAAAACTAAGTAGTTAGGATATCAGGATATCATATACAGATCGCATTTATGGCCCGATCCTTACGAAATTTTGCATGGAGATAAGATGAGGGTCAGAATAAAAGCCTACTCTTTTTGGAGATGATCGCCATATATTTAGAGGTTGAAATGGACCAAAAAACTGCAAAATTGTCAGCTGGTCGTAATTATCGCCCGATCCTCACGCACTTTTGAATGGGGGTTGCCGTACATTGCAAAAGCCAAACAGTTTTGGATGGCCACCCAAAAATATTCAATGTGTGAAGGAGTTTGCCAACTTTCGTAGACAAAATACGAAAATGTCCATTCCAGTGAATTTTTGGAGAATTCACAAATACAGGAAAGACGCACTTCTGGCTATTTCGTTAATTAAATTGGAAATATATATAAACTGTGTCGTTTATTATAGTGTTGTAGGGTATTCAACGGTCGGCCCCGCTCGACTGTAGCTTTTGCTTACTTGTTCTTAGATATGCCTGTATGAAATCTTATATTTATTATACTATTTACAAGTCACCAGAATAACCATAATTTTCATCGTGCATAAAATCAACACCGACTTGGTTGAGAAATTTTCCTTAAAAATGACCAGATATTTCATTATACAAATATATTATAACTTATGCATATGGAAACAAATCTAATGTATTTTTATAGATTAAATGTTCTCACAGATACTGAAATAAATATTGTATTTTAAAATCACGAATACACAACCAAAAATATGACCCTAAATCACAATTACGGTATTTCCACATATTATGAGGTGAAGAAAGTGTGAATGTACTGATGCGTATATAACGTTAAGTGCTCGTTGGAACCCAGTTGCAACAATATTCTGCAAATACAAGATATACATAAGAGTTATATTCAAATAAATATTCCAAGTATTCACTTACCAGCATATTAAAGTATTTTTCTTGAAACGGGGATGACAATGCAACTGACATGTCATAGACAAATACGAATGACACTCACATAAAAACGTTAGTACAAATCCTCTTAGTTCAATTTGTGATATTGTGTCAATGGGAAATATCACACTGTACGCACAAGATAAGGCCCTTTTACCAAATTCGACACTTATGTCCTTTGGGATTCATTCCAGAACCGGGCGGACACTGAAAAGTATCGGCAAATTCCTGAGAGTTTGAAAGTACGCCTTTTAAACGAAATCTTCCCGGGCAGTGGGAATCTTCAACTGCATAGCGTGATGCGGCCGGCGTATAGGCTTCACACCATAAGTTGCCAAACGAGATGAAAAACAACTGTTCGTGGCTATAGTGCTCTAAACCGGGTAGACGCATTCTCTCTTTGCCGTTTTCTTTTATAAAAAGACGATAGGCATGAAACGCTTCCCGCATGCCACCATTGTCGGCTATGTTCTCACCCAGGGTTAATTCACCATCGATCTACGAATGAAATTGTTTTATAATGTGGGTAAATATATATTTTGCTTTATCAAATATAACATCTTACATATTCTTCAATGTCCTCCAAAAAGTAGTGGCTATATTGTTCTATGAAACATTCAGTTCGATTTATATATTCGTTAATTGTTTCATTTGACCACCATTGCACCATGTTGCCGTTTTTATCAAACATTCGACCGCTATCGTCGAAACCATGGGTCAACTCATGTCCCAATATCGTGCCTATAGAACCATAATTTAGGGCCCTAAATATAAAACATTATGTTATTTCTATAAATAATATATTAAAAAAAGATTACAAACTAATAGCATATCAAGGTACTTGTGATCACATACAACAATGAAAATATAACGAGTGCTAATAGCAACTAATTAAAACAAGTAAAAAAGCAGTAAGTTCGGCAGGGCCGAACTTTGAATAACCTCCACCATTTGGAACGGAAATTGGAAATTCCATTCGAAAATGTGGCTAAAATCACAAAAATACCGAATATCGGGAGGTACCGTTATATGGGGCTATACGATATCGTGGACCTATATAGATAATTCTCTTCCGAGGTATAAAGTACCCGCAAGTAACTCCCTGGGTGGATTTCCAGACAATTCCTTTAAAAAATGTGGGTAAAATCTTCTAAATACCGAATATCGAGGGGTATCCTTATATGGGGGATATACGATATCGAAGACCTATATTGACAATTTTCTCTCAGGGGATTAAATGCTCACAAGGGACTTCTTGTGTGGAATTTCAGACAATTCCATTAAAGAATGTGGCTAAAATCATCGAAATACCGAATATCGCGTGGTACCGTTAAATGGGGGCTATACGATATCGTGGACCGATATAGCCCATCTTCGAACTTGACCTACCTGCAGAGAAAAGAGAGATCTGTGCAAAATTTTAGCTTCCTATCTTAATACGTTTAGACTGTAGCGTGATTACAACAGACGGACGGACAGACCGACGGACAGGGCTAAATCGTCTTAGAATTTTAAGCTGATCAAGAATGTATATACTTTGTTGGGTCTAAAATGATTATTTCGATGAGTTACAAACGGAGTGACGAACTTAATATACCCTCCATACTATGTATGGTGGAGGGTATAAAAAACAGTAAAGAAAGTCTTAAAGTCGGGCGGGGCCGACTCTGTGATACCTTACATCACTTTGCTAATTTAGTAGAGCTCCACATAGCAATTAAAAGTTTTTATGGGGGAATTTAATCATAAATGCTATGGTTATAATTATAATTTAAAGTTCAAAAGACGAAATATGCATAAGCATTTGTATCTTTTAAATTCGGACTTGTATTGCCCATTTGATATATATGGGAGCTATATCCAAATCTGAACCGATCTTGATAAAATTCGGCAAATATATTTCTGTATAGTACGGCTGCGGAGAACTAAAATAACAAATCGGATGAACAATGTAGATTGGAGCTATAGCTATATCTGAACCGATTTTCACTTAAACTTAATATACTTGTTTTTAGGCTGAATTCCCTCGGAAGTGCCAGCATTCAGTCCATTTGCCAATAAACCTGATATCGGATAAACGGAGCTATATCCAAATCTGAACCGATCTTTATAAAATTTCGTAAAGATATTTCAGGGCTGCATCTGATATCTGGTACTGAATATTATAATTTTCATGGAATGCATATTCGATATTCGATCGATTGTCTCCAAATTTGATGTACTTTCTTCTAAACTGAATTCGGTCGGAAGTGCCGAAATTCAGGTCGTGTGGACTGTTATTCGCTACTTGGTGCACAATTAACCTAAAATCGGTTGAAGATATATTTGGGAGCTATATTTAAAGTTGAACCTATTCACACCAATTACAATAGGATTCGTTCTTGTTCTAAAAAAATATTGTTTGGAAAATTTCTTTTCAATCGTAAAAAATACATGGACAGACGGACGGACGGACAGATGGACTCACGTGCATAAATCGACTCTGAAAATGATTCTATAGGGAGAGGTAACTATGGGTCAATCTCGCTTCCTTCTTCATATTACAAACAAATGCACAAACACATAATATCCTTACCACTATTTTGTGTAGTAATGTAATGAATAATGGGAGGTACAGTTTCATGGGGGCACAGGAAAACGTGGACCTATAAAGACAATGTTTTGTCACAATGTGGCATATATTCCTAAAATGTGGCATATATTCCATTATATGGAGAATATAGGAAAACTTGGACTTTTATAAACAAAGTAGCATCACAGGAGCTAAACCCCGTTGAAAACTCTAAGTACCGAATTTTATACAATTCTCTTAGAAAATGTACTCAAGATCGTCGAAATACCGACAGTTCGGAGCACGTGCGGCAGTTCTTGGAAAGTGACGCAGTTCCGAATCCAAACTATAGTTAAAGCCAGTAAGGAACAAGTTAAAAAGCAGTAAGTTCGGCTGGGCCGAACTTTTAATACCCTCCACCATTTGCAACGAATTTGGAAATTTTTAAAAAATAAAATCCTTATAAAATTCTTTTAAAATTTTAAAAATACCGAATATAGCCGTTTTATTGGGGTCTATACGACGTGGACATACATAGGCATTGTTTGTCATAAGCCATTTCCATATTCAAATTCGAAACTTGAAATAAACAGTGAATAATGTAGCTAAAATCATCAAAATATCGTATATAAGGAGATGCCGTTATATCGGAGCTATGCAAAGACCTGGACCAGCATAGACAATTTTTTGTAACAGGCTGTAGCATCCATTACGAACTTCAAATACCACATCTCAAACAATTTCGGTGGGTATTGTACCTAAAATCGTCAAAATACCGAATATAGGGAGGTACTGATATATGGGGCCTATACGAAGACCTCGACCCGCACAGACAATTTTCTGTCACAGACTGTAGTTCCCATAACGAACTTCAAATACCAATTTTGAAACAATTCCGGTGAATAATGTTGCTACAATCATCAAAATACCGAATATCGGGGGGTACGATATATGGGGGCTATATGAAGACGTGGACCTACATGGCCCATTTTCTGTTTTATGCTCCAGTATCTATTGCGAACTTCAAATACCAAATTTGGAACAATTCCGCTAAATAATGTCGCTAAAATCATCAAAATACCGAATATCGGGGGGTACCGTTATATGGGGGCTATATGAAGACGTGGACCTGCACAGAAAATTTTCTGTCTTAGGGTGTAGTATCCATTTAGAACTTCAAATACCAGATTTGAAAAAAATCCCGTGAATAATGTCGCTAAAATCATTAAAATACCGAATATAGGGAGGTACCGTTATATGGGGGCTATATGAAAACGTGGACCTACATGGCCCATTTACGAACTTAACCTGCCTACTGGAAAAATAAACATGTGTGCAAAATTTTAGCCATCTATCTCAATTCGTTCGAAAGATAGCGTGATTACAACAGACAGACAGACAGACAGACAGACAGACGGACATCCCTAAATCGACTTAGAATTTTACGCTGGTCAAGAATATATATACTTTGTTGGGTCTGATATGAGTATTTCGAGGAGTTACAAACGGAATGACAAAGTTAATATACCCTCCATAGTATGGTGGAGGGTATAAAAAAACAGAAGACGGATGCACCCGACTTTATGATACAATTCACCCCCAATTATATTAAGTGGGATTTAAATTTTGAAATCGGTTGAAACTAGAATATGGAACTCTATTCTAATCTTAATCGATTTTCACAATTTTCTCTGAAACTATTAGTGCAAAATATCATTGCTTTAATGTGTTTATAACGAATTAGAAAATATTTAAATAAAAAATCAGATGCTATATAGGGTCCGCAAGCCAACGATTTTCTTTACCTATGCTTATTTCGTGAATGAAAACACAAAGCTCATGTCTCAAATCAATTTAATGTTGCATTATGTGTGCGCCAGCACTGCATATAAAAAATGTCACATTTTGGGCACTGAAAAGTCTGAAAAATCGTTTGGTGCGGATTTTGGTCCAGAGACATAATTGAGTCATTTTTTGTCAAACAGAATCAAGGTACCGCCGTACACGTTACACACGTGCCACATAGCCGAAACAACACTCGATTTTCAAAAAAAGTTATTCGGCGGACCCTTCATATAGGCGCAATAGGTACAAAAACAGCTGTCGTTAAGTGTTTGTGGAAGACTCCCAAAATGTTAAGAAAATCTTATCAAAATTGGAAAGAATTATTATATATTATATAATTGGAAAGAATTATATATACATAATTATTATATTATTATATACAGGGTGAGATGAACAAACTGCAACCAACTTCAGACTGCTGTCATTTCTAAGCCACTCGTCCGACAGCTGTTAAAATTATTCCAGTGACAGCTTATTATATTGTTTACAAGCTTACAAAAGCATGTAAGAATTTTCCAAAAAAATGTTTATTTGCGATGGAATTCAAGCGTGATAGTGTGTTTTCTTTATATTTGGCTGGAAAACAATAAGTGGCTATCGTTAGAGCACTCCAGCATTTAAATGTGAATAAATCTGTTGTATCTCGTACTATCGCTCATTACCACGATACTAGTAGCGTAGCGCGACGTCAAGGAAGTGGACGGAAAAAAACAGTAACATCAGCAGAAATGGTTCGAAAAGTAAAGAAGCGACTTGATCGAAAGTGGTAAACTGCAGAATTTTGTTTTCTCCGATGGGAAAACATACGTTATAAACAAAACAAAATGAACGTGTTTACTTGCCAAAGAGATCAGCTGAAAATGTGCAACTTCGGTTGGCCACCAGAACTCAAGCGCCGGCCATGGTGATGGTGTGGGTAGTCATAACAGCCGATGGTCGTTCTCCGCTCGTATTTATCGACCGTGGCAACAGAATAACAGAATATTATCGCGAAAATTTTCTGAAGGGAGTATTAAAGCCTTGTGCACGCAAACATTTTGGCCGCAGACCTTTGACATTCCAACAGGAATGGTTACAAAATGAGGTTCCTCGTTTCATTTCCAGCGCACAATGGCCACCAATCATGGCAAATTCAACTGGACCCAATAGGGTTATCGAAAATGTTGCACAAAAATATTGGGTTATCGTACACACCTTTTGTCGTGAATGCGGCCTTAATAATCTAGGTTGTTTCGTTTAGAATACGAGACTCCTAAATTAAATATTTTTGTCTATTTTTTTTAGACTTTCATTATGGGTAAATTAGGGCGAGTGCGCTCCTGGCAGCAGAAAAAAACAGCAAATTCAATTTTTAGATGTAGCTCGAACATGAGTACTACTATTTACCTCGTTTACGAGTGGGAGCAAAATTCGTTCAGAGTCGAGCAAATTCTACTAGATTTTTAATTTGAATTTAACTTATTTTTGTGGATAAATAATGAATACACATTTATTATTCATATCCTGTTCAAAATGCTGTGCAAATAAAAGATATGAGTGCAGTGCTGGTGCTACAAATCTTAAAAGATTCAATTGTGACATACACGTGATATTCAGTGGTATTCTAGTGCGTCTATATTTAGTAACTAAAAATATTATTATATTAGTAAATTCCATCTTCACTCACTCCAGTCCCAAATCGTAAAAAGGATATTGCAATATTGCAATTGGTATCGCTAGAAATACGAAGACACATTAATGAAAGGAAATACAATTTTAATTCAAAATCCATTCTGATTGACACATCTCTAGAACAATATAAGTTAATTTCCCTGAAATGTTTACATTTCCACGAAAAGATAACTAAAATCAAATAATTTTAATGGCATTCGAACATGCAATAAGCCAATACCCACGCACATACATTTACACACACACACCCACACATTCACATACTTACTTATGGCGTTCGCTTGAAACGTGTGAAATGCATTGACATTCGACGGTGATGTGGCCCATCCAAAGGGTTCAGGAACATTCAGATTATTCAGCTTGATTTGCATTTGCCAACGCAAAACACCAACCATATTCTCGAGATGAGTTGAGGCATTGACATGCACATCCTCGTAGAACTCATCCAACGCTGTGGCATTGGTAAGCCAGTCCGGATAGCCAATGAAACTTTTCATTTCCGCAGACTTTTGCAAAGTCTCGTGTTTCGTTGGCCCATCCATCCATGTCGTCGAACGTATCAAATTGTTAAACGATCTTCGTATATCGTTCAGCATACGACGTACGTTTGGCAATTTGTGACGCGTGAAGTCGTCATCTGCCAATGCATAGCTGACCGCCATGCCCATGAGGCTATTAATGCCGTGAGCACAGTAAATGGAGCGCGGCGAATTGCCTTCGGTGCCAATCACCAGGCGCATGTATTCGGCATGTAGCAGACGCATTTCACTGGTCGTGTGTAGGATAAGCTCTTCCACCGCACTCAGCCACAAATAGAACTCGAGATGAGAGGTTGGTATTTCCAGCAAATATTCTGCTATTGTTTGTATGTAGAGAATGTCCGCATTGCTAGTGATTATCTCAAGCTGAGAGACATTGAATTTGGTGTCATTCGAGACGCTGTCAAACATTTGCTGGAGGTATGGTTCCCAAATGGGCAGTGATTTGGGTGTCAAGAGTTTGTCTGTTTGATTTTGCAAGTCTTTAACGGATATGTAGACTAAATCATCGATGGGATTTTTTGAAGATTGTGTGGCATTTTCGGCACTGCTTTTGAGCTGGAAAAATGAATAGTTGCATTGAATGCTAAATGAATTTTCCACTACCAACCTTATAGATTTTTCGCGCTACTTTAACAATTGCCATTGTCATGGCCTCTGTACTTTCATCAGTCTCGCCCGGAGTTATATCTGGATCCAAGTAAGATACGTAGACTTCCATAATCTTCTTAACGTAGGACACATATGCCCGTAACCCACTATTGGTTTCTTTGGTAGATTCGGCTTCTTCTTCCTCGCGACCTTCAAGATCCATATCATCATCGTCGTCATCTGAGCCGAAAATTGTCTTCTTGCGTACCTTGTGCAGAATCTTATGGACATCATCGTTGTTACTGAAACGACAATTTGCACATGTAATCCTAAATAAAAAAAAATTAAAGCAATTAAATACTACTTACAAGGGCAACGCGGAATCTGTTTCCGGTGTTCCCAGTGCAATGCGATTAATGGTTCGATTCAATGGATCGGGAAATATGTCGAAACCAATTATCAAATCCATACCCAAATATTTCTTTATAAGAACAACGGAATCCAGCCAATTGAATTTTTCAATTGTATTGTATTTTTTGGCGCTCTCCGGCGAGAGTGTTAAATTCAGCCCACTAGGAATTAATGGCAGCTTAAATTCTTTCAAGAAATGTACCAATGGTTCCATTTCTCGTTCCTCCAATTGTTGCATATCCATGCAGGCCTTGTACATAAGCTTTGCCTTGCCAACGGCTTCCGGTTCGCTGGTGGAAACATTCATCTTTAGGAAATCTCTTAATTCGCGCATAATTTTCGCTTGTCTCTCCCGAAACCAATCGTTCGAGGTCACCGATTCGGGTCGCGGATGCTCCTGTGACCAACGACCACATGTAAATTGATAAAAGTCCTCACAGGGATCAGTCTCTTCGTCCATTGAGTATATAAGGCTTGCCGATGTCCTGAGACACTCATTTGTCCGGCAGATTGTACTAATTGATTGATTGTCTAAAAGTGTAAACAATTTTAGTCCTGAGGTTGGACACATATAGTTGTTTCAAGTACTTACGCAATAAAGCGGCTAAAACTATTATTGTAATGAATAAAACTACAACGAGTATTATGAGCAATATGAATATTGTCTTGTGAAAATATTTCCGACGAAATCTGAAAATACAACGGAGAGGAAACATAAAAATGAATTTCATATTTATTTTCGTGTTAGGAAAAGTTTAAGTTCTTAGTAGGTTAATAAAATAAATTAATTTAATATTTCAAACCCCGAGGGATGTTTGATGTCAAATACTCTTAAATAACTTTATGAGGAAATGCCAGTCATCTGCTGTTGGAGTACCAACTGGAAATTCGAAATGTTCTAGGAGGAGTGTACCGATATTGTACATTTTCGCACATAACCTTGAACTGATACAAATATTAGGATTTGCCAATTTTGAGATAATCATTATGTTTTTCAAATCGAATGGACTGATATTAGCTTCTCGCAACATCCAGATAGACAGATGTTCTGAAACGTATATAATCCATACAAATCTAAACGGTCTAAAACCGTTATGAGTTAAGTGCAGCATGATGTCTCAGTTAAACTAAAATACCAAATTATATTTTATTCCATTCGAAAGTCTAGGCAAACCAAATATATAAATACCTAAAATTGGGTCCTACCTTTATTTGGGGATTATACAAAAATTTGGGTAGACATATCACTTTTTCAATTTCATACATTTGCAGAAATTATATGATCATGATCACAATTCTTTTGTCTTTACTTCAGATTTAGACAGTACGAGTTTACAATTGCGACAATTTTTCTCGTTCTCGTTATCATCACCTTTTCTGTCATTTGTTACGTGACCGTTACATAAAGTTCTATCCCTACCTAACAATATCTTTTTATACCCTCCACCATACATAGCATGGAGGGTATATTAAGTTCGCCATTCCGTTTGTAACTCATCGATATAATCATTTACTTATTCTTAATCAGCGCAAAATTCTAAGACGATTTAGCCATGTCCGTCTGTTGTAATCACGCTAGAGTCAAAACGAATAAAGCTACGAAGCTAAAATTTTCCACAGGTCAGTATTTTGTCTGCAGGCAGGTCACGTTTCTTTCACAAGGAGTTCTTTCTGTGTACTTTACCCTCTGGAAGATGATGGTTTATATAGGTTCACGATATCGTATAGCCCCCATATAAGGGTACCCCCGATATTTGGTATTTTGATGATTTTAGCTACATTTTCCAACGGAATTGTCTGAAAATCCACACTGGGAGTTTTTTCTGAGTACCTTACTCCCTGGAAGGGAAATATCTATATAGGCTCAAGATATCGTATAGGCCACATACAAATGTACCCCCAGTTATTTCGCGATTTTAGGGACGTTATGCACCGGAGTTGTTCAAATTGCGTATCTAGAATTCTTAATAGGTACTATAGCCTATAACAAAAAATTGCTTATGCAGGCGCACGTCTTCGTATAGCCTCCATATAATGGTACATCCCAATATTTGGTATTTTGACGATTTTAGCGACATTATTCGCGAGTTTTTTTTTCAAGTTTCGTATTTCAATATTGTAATGGCTTATGACAAAAGTTGCCTATGCAAGTCCGCGTCTTCGTATAGACCCAATATAGCGGCTATATTCTTTTTTTAAGACTTTAACAGAATTTTTAGCTAATGTTATTTTTTTTTAAATTTTCAAATTCGTTCCAAATTGAGTAGGGTATTTAAAGTTCGGTCTGGCTGAACATACTGCTTTTTTACTTCTTTTCTTTAACCCCAGCCATAGTTTCGACATTCCCTACATTATTTACGCATTATACCCTACAACACTATGTACCCCCAACACATAGTGTTGTAGGGTATAATGAGTAAATAATGTAGGGAATGTAATAATGTAGGGAAAGTTTGATTGGGCCAAAAATTATGCAACACCTCCAAATATTGGTTTTCCACATAGGAAAGTATATATTGATGTTCCTATCTCGCCAAGCTAAGTCGATCTAGCTATGTATTTCCGTCCGTCTGTCCATATTAATTTGTAATCACTCTACAGGTCGTCATTATGGCCCGATCTTCACGAAATTTAGAATGGAGGTGGAGCTAGAACCAGAATAGAACCCTATTTTGCTTTTGGAGATGTTCGCATAATATTAGGGGTCGAAATGGACCAAAAACTGAAAAATTTTCTGAATTTGCAGTTGCTCTACAGGTCGCAATTATAGACCAATCGACGCCGAATTTAGCATGAGGCTAGAGCTTAGCGCTGGGCAGAAGTCTTCCAATTTTGGTAATATTAAGTGGGTGAAATAGACCATAATATTTGTGTTAAATAAAAGTCAAATTTTTCATTAAACCGCGAATATTTTTAATCCCAGCGAAATTACAAATAGACGAACAGGTCAATCCTGACCGTTACGTAGATGCCGATAATAAACATATCGGATATATATAGCGAAATATATACAATGTATATGTACAAAGGAAGGGGATGTTAGCTAGAAGCTTATATTCACAAGAATGGCTGGACCGATTTTGAGAAATTTTGTCAATTCAGAAATCGCATAAACAGATGCCAGTAATGATGTTAAGATCGATTTTGTAGTATTTTGTGACATTTTTTTTTCATATTTTTTATCGCATGCGATTTTTTTAATTTGACTTTTAATATTGAAGTGTTTGTTTTGTAACATTTTTTCACCCTACAACACAGGTTGGGGATATTATATACAGATTGCAATTATCGCCCGATCCTCACGAAAATTTTCACAAGGGTAGGGTTAGGCTCAGAAGGACTAGGCCTATTGTTTTCAAAGATGTCTGCAATATATTTGCGTGTTTAAATGGACCAAAAACAAACAAAAAAATTCCTGATCACACAATTGAAGCCAATCGATACGCTTAAGAAAAGAGTTAAGGACAGAGAAGAATTGTAGCATTTTCGATGACCACTGGATTATATTTAGTTGTAAAATGGACAACAACAACTTACAGCACGACGGAGTGGGTAAATATTGGACAAATGTCCCTGTTCAAAATGCTAAGGGTAATATCTGGTCAGTGCTCCGTGATATAATTTCAAAAGCGAAATCTTCCAAAATGGATTTGGACATAATGGGACTTCTGACATATTGTAGTGTTGTTGGGTATCACATGGTCGACCCCGCACTACTATAGCCTTTGCTTACTTGTTTTTATATAAAACTAAAACACAAAAGGAATTGCCAGAAAATTGCCATTTTAAAATGACTATTCCGATGAAGTATGAAGAGTATGTCAAACTTACATGACGGTTAATGGTGGAGGATATTGAAACATAGGATTCTTCTTCTTCTTCTACCTGTATTACAAAGGGTGAACCTTATGAAAAATCTTAATTTTGAACATCTTACTATACTAGTTATATTACATTATAGAACATAGAAAAACATTGTACAATGTAAAACTAATCATAAATCATGTTTAAATATAGACCATATCTATCTATAGACATTTGTGACCTCCTTCACAGATAACATCATTCTGAATAAAATAAATCTTATATAATTTTTCAATAGTGTCAGAATTGATCGACGATTTGGCAACTTTTAGTGGTCAAAAAATGGGTAGCTATTTCGTGTGATATGCCAATGCAAGAACAAGTAAAAAAACAGCAAAGTTTAACGCTCTCCAAAATTTGGAAGAAATTTGAAATTTTTCAAAAAAAAAAACTACAACTCAAATAAAAACCGTTATATGGGATTATACGAAGACGCGGCCCTGATAACGAAATGTTTTGTCATAGGCTGTACTGTACTGAATAATGTCACGAAAATCATTAAAATATCTAATATCGGGAGGTACCGTTATATGGGGGATATACGAAAACGTGAACCTGCATACGACATTTTCTTTTGTCATAGGCTGTAGTACCCATTACGAACTTTAAACATGAAATTTGAAATAATTCCGGTAAATAATGTCGCTAAACTTGTTAGAAATACCGATTATCAGAAGGTACCGTTTTAAGGGAGCTATACGAAAACGTGGACCGACATGGCCCATTTAAGAACTTAACCTACCTACTGGTAAACTATGCATGCATGCAAAATTTTAGAATTCTATCTCAAGATAGCGTGATTACAACAGCCAGACATAGAGGCGGATATCGCTAGACCGTCTTAGAATTTTACGCTAATCCAAAATATATATATACTTTGTGGGGTCTAATATTTCGAAGAGTTACAAACGGAATGACAAACTTAATATACCCTCCATACTATGGTGGAGGGTATAATAATCGGTTTGTTGCTTGATTTGTAAGTAATTACGACACAGGTTCCTCGAAGGTGGCAACTGTAGATCACAGCTATGTTCGGGATCCTTTATGTAATTTTAAACTGTTTCTTTCTTCATTTTCAGAAGTCTTTTCCGAAGTGGTTTACTGCAAAAGTACCTTGTTCACTAAGAAAACTTCTTAGAATTGTTCTGCTCTAATGAACTTTTATTATGGCGAGGAACATATATTTAGAATTGGAAAATACTACACTCTCACTGATTGCCCCCTTACTATTAAAATACAATAATTATTTCGAATGGAAATTTTCTATATTCAATCGAAACTTCATACTCACCGTGATTCAACCCCTACGAAATTATTGTTCGGATAGTGGTGTAGAACAGGTGGTGATTTCGTTCCATTATTGTTACGGCTGACTTCGTCCCCCGCAATGCCATTGCCACTGTATGCTCGCGTGGAAGTGTGACCGGAAACCGGAGTGTGAACACTTAAATTGCCTAAAAAAATATAATTTCATTAATCACCTTGGTGCCGTAGCATAGATTGTATTCATTACACATATGTAGTGGACATTGTCATTCCAATCAAATAATTGATGTGTGGTATTACAATGAAAAAATATGTTTTTATTTGGTCTTTTCTATACAACATTTGTGTAAGGAAAATAACTAAGATAATTAAATGAAAAAGCAACAAACAGACATTTATATGTCGATTTAGTAATTATTTTCGGAGCAAAAGTTTAGCCACACTTTTTTTTTTTTTTTTTGTCAAAGAATATAACTATTTTTTAAAGATGAAATAAACTTTAAATTATTTGGAGCTATTGAATTAAAGTTTACATATTACAGATGTCTCTCTGTAAATACAATTTTTTTCTAAAGAGCTGAATATGAAATTTCTTCTATATATACGGTCTAAATAATTCTTCAATTAAAACTTGAATGAACTTGATCTACTGTCTACTTACTTATTTTGGAAAAAGAGAGGAAAAAAATCGAAAAGTCGAATGGGATGGCCCCATGCCATGGTAGAATTACAAGGTAACCCTTTCAGGCCAGCTGGTATCAATTTGATATGTCAAAAAATTGTTGTAATTTGAATTCACCTTCATTTACACATAAGAAAATTGTTGCATGATTTCAAACTTTAACAATGCTATTGATGGAAAACAGAGATTTTACGTTTTTATAGAGTATGAGGGAAAAAGTGTATATTCAACATATGGTAGGCATAGGTAATATGGAGATCTAAAATTCGTGGATATTTGAAATAAGTGAAGCAGGGAATCAATTTCATATAGGAGATAAACCGATACATGGAATTTCATCATCTTATTTGTACGGATTTTCAACTGTTATACACTAAAGGGCTTCAACAGTGAAAGGTGAATGATTCCAAAGCATATTGGATTGGTTTGGGGAACAAAACATTGGCAATTTTTGGGGTGTGATTAAATATTGAGATAATTTTTTTATTTCAAATTGTTCGAATGTATTAAAGTTATCTATACATAAAAGACTTCCTGTCTGCTATACATTTCATAGCTGAGTAAATAATATGCGTGGACTCACAGTAGACTCAGCCCCTATATCTTCTGGAATCTTTGATCCAAATCTTAAGTAAGCCTGAGGAGTAAATATACCCTAAAGTACCTTTTAGGTAGCATGCCACTACAGCGAGAAAGCTGACGATGTTGCAAAAAAAAAAGGGTACACCCCAGAACCACCACAAAACATAATTTTTAAGCATCAAAACTAATTTTCCGGATATTTACTGTATTACTTGTAAAGAACATTATCGCTGTTGAATATGAAATCAACGTTGCCAACGTTACCAAGACTGCATGCTGTGTAAGGATGATGAAGAGATAACAACGATTGGACATCTATTATCGCAAATGTCCTTCGTTAGCGCGCTGGAGACTACGATCACTCCATTTCCAGTCTCTGTGAAAAATGTTGTATTGAACGTGCTATAATGAAACCAAGATGCAGAGGCTTCAGCATTACTATCAATCGATGTTGGAAGTTTTGAATATTTGCTTTTGTAATAGAAAAAACAAAAATTTTGAAAATTTTTAATTTAATATTTTGATTGGAAAAATAATTTGCCCCAAATTTTGTACATCAAATCAATTCGCCCTGACTACAACTTTGACATATCAAGTTTCCAAAAAAGTAGCTTTGTTGTAATTTTCGCCTATGTTGCTACCTGTTATTTCTACCATGCCCCATGCAATATGTCGACAAAAGCAAGTGAAAAGCTAATTGAGTGATATTTAAAATATGCTTTTTAAATCTTTGCACTGACGTATACATTATTCTTACGGTGATCGATATTGAGGAAGGTATGTCAGTCGCCGTTCAGTTATAGCATCTATATAATTCCACAAGTTGACACTCGTAATTTTGCATATTTCTGCCAATTCCAATCGAATCGGTATTATTTACGAAAATATAAGCTCTAACTACAATCTTATTGGATAATAATTTGATTTTCTCTGTTTTTTTAAACCCTCCACCTTGGAAAGGAGGGTATATTAACTTTGTCATTCCGTTTGTAACATCCTTAAATATTCGTCGTAGACCCCATAAAGTATATATATTCATAATCAGCATAAAATTCTAAGTCGATTTAACGATGTCCGTCTGTCTGTCTGTTGAAATCACGATACAGCCCACATTATTTGACGTAGAGCGCCAAAAATTAGCAGAGCAATTTGTATTGTGTCTAGGATGGTTGGTATTGAAAATGAGATATATCGGTCCACGTTTTGGTATAGTCCCATATAACGGTACCTCCCGATATTCGGCATTTTAATGGTTTTTGCCACATTTCTTCTAATGTTTCCTTTACGCTAAGGTGGAGGGTATTAAAAGTTTGGCCCGGCCGAACTTAATGTTTTTGTACATGTTTTTATTTGTACACTGAGGGAAAAATCCCGTTGCGAAATCAAGCACGTATGTTGTCATTTTCGCAACGACCCGTTGTTATATTTTTCAACAACGGCTGTTGGTGAATTGTGCACGAACGTGCTCAAATTGACACCGAGACGTGGTCAACTTTCGGTACCAACAACAGCCGTGCTTAATTTGTCCATTTGTAATATTGGTAATTGCAGCCGATTACACACGAGTAAAAAATGACAACGGTGGTGCATGATTCACACACGGTCGTTGTCAATATGACACCGGTCGTGTATGAATTATGCACCACCACCTGCATAATGATGCACCACCGTTGTTACTTTGTACACCGACGTGCATGAATCGTACACGATCGTTGCCATTTTAGCAACTACCGTGTATGAATCATGCACCACCGTTGTCATTTTTTTTACTCGTGTGCAATCGGCTGCATATTTACCATTTTTTTCCGTGTTATTGAAAGAGAAAGGACGCATTGTGCAAAAAATTTATTGAAAATGAATAATAATTCGCAAGATCCTCAAAATATCATTGGTGAGTTGTTAGAAATCGATGGCAATATTGTTGTGGTTCGCGATACAAACCATTGCAGCAGTCAAGATGCGGAAAACAATGAGGACGATTATATGTTAAGGGAGTTCTTAAAAGGAATAAATATGGAGTCGCTTTTTGAACAATTAAAAGGTAAGTAAATAAAAATGAATTTTTCAGTTAATCAGTGTAATTAACAAAGAATTTTCTTTTTTGTTCTTTTAGCATCACATGTAACATTTCGCAGCTTGCAGTACTTGAAAAAAGAAGATTTAAAGGAAGCAGTGCCACCATTGGGACTGCGTGTTGAATTCAGAGAAAAGCTCTTTGCTTGGAAAAAACGAAAGGTACGTATTATTTGTTTTACAGAGTTGAACTCAGTATTAATATTGTCATAACAATAGCTCGGGATTGATGACGAAACTATGTCAGTTCCATCTAAAATAGGTGAATGGTGGAAACGCAACGAGACACCTGCAAGTACTCCTGGTACTCCCGACACTACAGGTTCGAACTGCTCAAAAGCCAAAGGAATTTTGTCAGAGGTAAGGTAAGAGTAATATTTGTGTAAGCATAGTTAATGTAGTTTTTTTATTTAATATAGGATCTAACGGAATTGTTAACACATACCTCGAAGGGGAAACTAGCGCTTGAATGTAGTAGCGTTAATAAGAAATTAAGTGACGAGCAAAGAGATGATATAATTAATATAATTATTGAAGATATTTTAACCAACAATGTTACTCTTTACACTCAAGACTATATGCGCATATTGGATGAAATTTGTTCCGTTTTTCCTCTTGAAAACGAAATGAGGGTAAGATTAACAATATAAACAACGTATCTGATTATGTAGTTTCTTAACTTATAATATGTCTTTATTTTTAGGATTATTATTACATTTCAAGAAAAGGAAAGAACAACGCAAGCGGAAAACTTTATGCCAAGTATAGAAACAAGAAGTCCAAAAGAATAAAGCTTTTGATTTCCGAGCCTAGCACAAGCAAAGCAGCAACTCACACATCTCCTAATTTTTGTAACAAAGATGTTCCCGAAATTGATGAATCAGTTGAAAATTCATTGAAAGCTTCCTTACTAAGAGAATGTAATGATTGGGGATCGATCTGCGAAAAATGGAAAAGATCTTTTAACATACGGCAAAGAGATATAAAAAATTTAAGTAGCCATACATTTCTCCTTGAATGGACGAAGTTGTCCGATGCAAGAGCTTCAGAATTGGTAAGTAGCCATGAGCTATTTATTTGTATATGGATACTAATGTTTCGTTTTAGGTCAACATTGATTTCGATATTATGTATCCACAGAAAGGCAATCTTCTACTTTCTAAATGGGACCAATTTAAGAAAAAAATTTACAATTATTATGGGAAAAATATTCATAACGAACATTGCAAACAACTCTTCGCAAATGTTTTGACGGCAAGCAGCATAGGTAAATTTTAATTCCTGATTTATCATAAACATTAAAAGTAATATTTATTTTATATTTCGGTTGCAGATGCTCAAGATTATATATACGCAATACTGTTGAATTCAGTTTTACCATCACCTGCTAGGTTTAAATGTGGAAACGGTAAATTACGAAAAAAAGTAACAATAGCTGATTCGCAGGAAAGTTTCGTACTGCGACTACCGACAATTAACGATTATAAAAGGCAAATTGATACAGTCACTGAAAAGTATTACAATGCTGGATTAACTATACAGCCATTTATAATTGTGGAGGGTTTGTCCGATTTCAATATAAAAGGTTTTTATGTTTTTTTTAACCACAATTTGTTAAAATTTCAATCGTTCCTCGAATGTTTAGATACATGTTTTAAAATTTTTCATGCACTTTCTTTAAAATATCCAAATGCCTGCCAAATTCCATGGATTTTTATCCAAAAATATTTTTATGAAATTAATACTGTATATGATATAAAATCAGTTAATTTGACTTCACTTATTAATTTCTGCAACAATAATTAAAGTACAATTCAAAATGTATATTTGCTTTCGTTGCCGTAAGCATTTTGATAAGGCAAATCTTTTAATAGCTCATTTGAAAACAGACCATTTAATGTCCACTAAATTTTTAAAAGTACAATGCGTTCAGGACAACTGTAAGCAAACATTTACAAAATTTACGTCATTCAGAATTCATTTAGAAAAACTTCACAAGAATCACACAAAAGCTCCACCAATGGTTAAAGCCATTAATGTGCCAGTTGAAATGTCATCATCAAAAGAAAATGATTATACAAACAGTGAAACTGTTATTAACAACAATACAATAGAAAAGGATTTAAATGTTTTGAAAAAGAAAACCTTATATCTGTCTTTACAATTACATGGTCAAAGCTATATGCCTAGAAATCATGTTATAGAAATACAACATTCTGTTTCAATTCTGCTTTCATCCATTTCATGTACAATTGAAAAATATATAACTGATCATCCAAATTATGAAGACTTAAGGTACTTACTAAACTTTTGTAAAAATCCTTTCGAAGAAACTAGAACGGAATATAGACTTTTAAAAATTTTAAAAGAACTAAACTTTTATGATGATCCAAAGGTTTATGTAATTAGCAATCAAGTCTCGGAAATTGTTATCAGCGGAAATCCCAGTTTAGGTCCAAAGTTATCCAATATTTATATAATGCCACTGAAATTCATGATAAGTGCCCTTTTTAAAATTCCAAATCTCTTAGATTTGACATTAGAAAACTCCAAAAATTCCTAAATTCACCTGTTTTACAAAATTTTACAAACGGTGAGTTATATAAAACTAAATTATTAAAATATCAGTACAATTTAGTTATTCCCTATGTCCTTTACATGGATGATTTTCAAATTAATAATCCTCTTGGAACCCATACATTTTCCATATGTGGTTGTTATATTAGCTTTCCTTCAATGCCACAGCACTTGTTGTCAAAACTTGATTATATATTAACTGCTGCGTTTATACCATCAAAGGATTTAAAAGAACGTGGAAATGAAGTTTCATTTCACAATCTTGTAGAAGAGTTAAAAATTCTAGAAGAAGGGGTTGAAATTTGTGTTCAACAAAGTGTTCAGAAGGTGCATTTTATTTTAGGTGTAATTATTGGAGATAATTTAGCAGTTAATAGTATTTTAGGCTACGTGCAATCATTTAACTCTAAAAGATTTTGCCGGGTATGTAGAAGAAAAAAGTCCCAAATGCAATTCGACGCAATTCAGCATTTAGATAGTTTAAGAAACCAAGAGAATTACAACTCAAATGTATTGGAAAATAATTTTCAAGAAACAGGTATTAAAAACAAGTGTATCTTCGAATCTTTACCAAATTTTAACGTCACTGAAAATTTTTGTTTTGATATTATGCATGACATTTTCGAGGGCATATGTGTCTACGATATGTCTAATGTAATTCTCGGGCTGATTCAAGAAAATATTGTTACGTTAGATTGTATTAACAGCAGAAAATCTTTATTCCAATTTGGAGAAATTGAAGTGGGAAATAAATCTGGACCACTAGATTTATGTAGATTGAAAAACTATAACTTAAAAATGACAGCTAGTGAAACTATGTGTTTTACTAATTTTTTACCTTTAATGGTAGGCGATTTAATTCCTTTCTCCAACGATCACTGGAAAGTTTTTATAATATTATTACAAATAATCGATTTACTTTTAAGACCAAGTTATATAGAAGACGATTTAATAAAATTGGAAGAATTAATTAGAGATCACCATTCACTTTATATAACATTATACGGTTCGTTAAAACCGAAACACCACTTTCTTGTCCACTATCCCACAGCTATCCGAAAATGTGGTCCCCTTAAATATCTCTGGAGCATGAGATTCGAAGCTAAACACAAGGAAGCAAAAGCCTATTTAGGAAATACTACATCAAGAGTAAATCCCTGTCGTTCATTATCTATTAAGTCTGGATTGAAATTTTCCAATTTTTTATTAAAACACGAAGATAACTTAGAACCAAATGTTATCATTAATACGCATACCATCGAAGATTTGGCAAAAGAGGAATATTGTTACAAAAAAAGTAAGCCAGTTTTAAATTACCAAAATTGCAAAGTGTCTGATGACATTTTTTTTAAGGGAACTAGGTATAAAAAAAACTATTATTTAGCAACAAATAATGCCGCAATTGAACTTTTCAAAATTAAACATTTAATAATTGAAAATGAAAATGTTTACATTTTATGTAACCAAGTAAAAGTTAAAAACTTTGATTACCATTTACAATCGTATGAAGTTGGTTCTCTGAATGAGGATACAATTTTTTTAATACCAATTTTAGATTTTATTACTTACCCATTTCACTTATATCCTATGAATAATGGAAAAGTTTATTTCAGATTTAAGTTAATTTAATTTGTTTCTATACATTGAATATATGTAATTCGAATTGTTTTGTTAAATCAAATATGTATTTATATTGAATTTATGTAATTGGTTTCGTTCAATAAAATACTTTTCAAAAAATGTCGTTTCTTCTACTAAGGGTATAAAATGGAAAAGGAACGGATATCAAAAAATGACCACCATTGATTTCAATCTGACAACGGGCGTTGACAATCCGACAACGGAGCGTTGACAATCTGACAACGAAGCGTTGACGATCTGACAACGAAGCGTTGACAATCTGACAACGGGGCGTGCTCGAAATGACCACGTATGTGCTCATTTCATGCACATCGGTTGTTGAAATCGTTGCCAAAATCTCGGTGTCAAAATGACAACAGCGTGCTCATTTTGACACCAAACGTGGTTGATACACTATCATACACGGATGTGGTCATTTCATACACGGATGTTGTCATTTTTTCTCTGGGTGTATTCAAAAAAAAAAAAAAAAAAAAAAAAACAAGTTACAAATAAAAATTGGAACGAATTCTGTAAAAATCAAAAAAATGCCGATTATAGCCGTTATATTGGGGTTTATACGACGACGTGGAACTGCATGATCAACTTTTGTTATAAGTCATTACAATATACACATATACCGAATATTGGGAGAACCGTTATATGGAAGCTGTATGAAGACATACTTTTTTGTCATAGGCTTTAGTTCCCATTATGAACTCTAAATACTCTGGCGAATAATGTCCCTAAAATCGTCAAAATATCGAATATCAGCACCGTTGTCTGTGGACTATACGATATCGTGTACCTACACATTTCTCTTCCAGTAGCTAAAGTGTTTAGAAAGAACTTCGATTATGGATTTTTAAACAATTCTATTGAAAAACGTAGCTATGGCTATACGACATCGTGGGCCGATATAGCCCATCTTCGAACTTAGGCTTTAATTTGAGAATTATAAATTTTAATTTTCCATCGAAATGTGCTGTATTTGGAATTGTGTCATTTGATAAGTGCCATTTAGTTTTGTTCACATCATAGTTAACCACATAAAGTCTATGTTTTTGTATGTCCGTCGGTCCAATCGGTAGACAAAACGTAGACCGTACTTATAATTTTTTCGAAAAAACGTTCTCTTTTTCGAAAAGATCATTATACTATTAGTTTGAAAAATATGTCTTATATATAAACAAGTAAAAAATCTGTAAGTTCGACCGGGCCGAACCCTCCATCATTTGGAACGAGTTTTGCAATTTAAAAAAAAAATAAAATCCGTTAAAAATTCTGTTCAAATCTTAAAAATACCGAAATGACCAAAAACACAATTTCTGTTTGGCGTTGCAGTCGCTTTACAGGTACCAATTTTGTACCAAACTTTTTGAAGATAATCATAAAATATTTAGCGTGTGAAATAAATTCCAATTTCAGTTTAAAACGGATTAAGTTCCGCTAGGCCGAAATTTTGTATACCTTCCACCATGGATAAAGAAAAAACTTGAAAATAAAACTATCTTGTATTAATATTAAAGCCAGTTCCATTTTTCGCCAGTGAAATCGGATTGTAAAATGTCTTCAAAATACAGTAAAGTCGATATTACCAATTGCCTACTTCAGTGCCCGCTACTTTGTCAACCTTAAAGTTTTAGGCCATTTTAGTATTCCATCCTGGACACCAACCGTGTACAATTATCTTCTATATATATAAAATAAAGTTGTGTTAGTTACTACGCTTATACCTTAAGAACCGCTGTACTACATACAAATTCGGAATTGTCCGATGTCCTGTCCGGATGGGAAAAATCTCGTAAAAATC